ATTTGCTACTGCAATATCCAATCGGTTGTCATTGTTGAAATCATTAACTGTGACCATGTAAGGACTAGAGTAGGAACCTGTTAAATACATGATTGGATCTCTAAAATTTTTGTTCTCTATATGATGGGCAATAAGCATATCCAAAAATGTGTCATTATTGAAGTCGCCGATAGCAACAGATCGTAGACCATACTTATATTCAATTGGCATTTCAGCCATTGGTTTCAAGTGGAGGCAGCACTTTGGAACTAAGCGATACATCAATAACAATGTAATGACTAGTTGTTTACTTCAGTAAAACTATCCATCCTAGATTGCTTCGGATTATCAAATTTCCTATAATATGCTGTCAGAAATTATCGTATGTGTCTAGTTAGAGGCAATTCAAAACCATCATCCTTCAAAAGAATTTTACTGAGTTTCTTGAAATTCAGATAGAGCTGAATATGGGAATTCAAACGAACATACAAGGAATAACAACTTACAATAGTGAGTTTATGTGTCAGTAGTTCCGTCATACTGACCCAGAGTGTTCACCGATAGTTTTTGAGTGACAAGTGTGCAACTATTTATCTCTACTCTTTTCCATAAGGGGAGCAATGAATGACTTCTATTGATCTGTTTCATCACAAATAATGATAAATATTCTTCTCTGTTTTTAGTTACAGATCTTCTATTACATCTAATTTAACTTACAGGATAATTTGTCTGATATCAGATTTAATAATACTCTTAAGATGTTGTGGAGACTACTCATTTTTATTATCGAAACATGTAGATGATGATAAAATAGAAATGTACTTGCTATCTGTTCACTTTGTGAAGATAGTCGACTACTAACCATCTATGAGTTACATAGAATTATTATTTTATGACGTATATACACAGTTTTATTGTTTCAGAGAGTGGTAACGAAAAGAGTTCACTAGAATATAAGCAAGGAAATGAGAACTCAATGGAGAATACAACATAAAACACACATGAGTCATACAGAAAGACAAAAAGAAAACGACTGTATCAGAACATATTAGCAGAATGACAGGAGATCTAGATGGAATATACATATACTGCTTACTCTCCTCTGCAGAGAACATAAAGTGAGAAAACGTAAAGAAGATGTGTACCGCAGAGAAGAAATATTTACTTTCGTCACGTTCTATGAGAAAATCACTTGTATATTCTCTTATTCTTTCGTATTTCTATTATATTCAAGAACATATCGATGAGAGAGAGAAAAAGAAATACAGAATAAACTGCTCTTTTCATTTAGAAATGTGAAAGAGTATCACCAAAAATAATAGAACAAGCGATTCAAGAACATTGAATAAGATAAAGTTGATCTTTCTGCAACAAGTAACAATGTGTGACATCAGTTTGTTAAAAGTCAGGTCGTAAAACTGTTCCTTTATTGAGATATGAAAAAGAAAATTTATAGAAAATGCAATAATTTTCGTCTTAAAGAAACTTATTATCCTTGCTTTTCTAGAACAAAGTGACAATGGGATGATTCTTTTTGGAACTCTTTTCGAATCTATAATCTCTAACAATAAGTAAAATAGAAGGATCCAACTTATGGACTATGTATCAAATCTGCTGATGATGATCATCTTGGTTGGTTCGCATTCGTCAATACTAAATTGAAATGAAAAAGTGAAGCAGTTGTAATACTTATAATTCTATCCTCACTTGATGATTTGCTTCGAATATGTCGATATCAAATATTTTATCACAATTTGAGTTTTTTTAACCAAAACTCACAATACTGGTAACACAGAACCGAATTAGCTGTGGATTTTTATCGTATTGAATACGAAGAATGTAAAACAACAAGAGTATACCTGGTTGTTTTGGTGCAGTTAAACAAACTACCAGTATACCAATGATCGTAACTATACTTGTAATCATAGGCAGTACAAAGATAGGTTTGGTTATGAAACACAACATTGACAAGTAACAAAATTTCCTAGAAAAGAGCAACAACGATGATATTTGACAGCAAAAGAAAAAGTCATACATATTCTGCCGAATCGTGTATTTTTTTATTCGATCGATGGTATTGTTCTGAACGTCTCTTGCATTTTGGCCATTTGAAATTGGTCTCGGCTCCTCGTTTGCATCGACGACAACACTATCTTTACGAAGCGAGTATTTGACCAATTTAACGTTACTATCCATAGGAACCATTTCAATCTACGATGAGACAGTGGCTAAGGAAGAACACATACATGATATGAGAATATAGATATATCTCTAATCATGCAGAGTTTCTACAGAAAACTGTCAATGCAATAATTTTTCCTAACCCATTCAGTCGATTTATGTATAAGCGGACAACTTTTCTGTGCAATCTTAACGATTTTTCAACGGTTAAATAGATGTATTTAATATGTTGAGGAGACTGCACAGGATTTTTGACGATAAACTTGTAAGCGATCAAAACACTTGCATGAATACTGCAGCATATTAAAACAATTATCAAAGCTACTGATTCGAATATTTATTTAACCAGCTAATGCTCATTTAGTTTTTGTTAATTTCTGTCAAAACTAGTAAACATTATTTTTTTCTGTTTTTAATTCTCTTCCATGGATACTTTCAGATGTAAGATCTTCAGCATGTTTTCTAGCCATATTTTTTAAAATAGTTGGCAACACAATTCCGGATCTGTCGAACCTTGATCAAGGCACCACAATCACCATTTTTAGAATTGCAACTTGGACAAGTAAAAATGTCGTAGAGTTTCTACATAAAAAGGGTGTGGATGGAGCGTGGGTGTGGGTGTGAATGTAGATGGAGAGACATCACCCATACTCACAGTCACAGCCACGCCCACATCCTTCAAAAGGGATTTTGAGATCATAACGTTGTATCAGGTCACCATTTTGGTTCCATCACATGAAGCATGGTACAGGCAAAAGTTAACAATGCCGTACTCCTCTCTGATGGGTATAGCAATAGATGGAACCGACTTTTTGATTTCAAGGATTCTTTTTCTGAGGTTGTTAACAGCAACATTAAATAATGGAAAATATACTATTTTTCTTACTGAAATTGACCATCGTATAGGGGTGTCAGTTTCTGGTTCCGTTCCCAAGACTCCGGGAACCCATATTGACTTGATACAGATTGAAAGAATAAGTACGTCCATATATCTCAAAATAATTAGAAATGTTCAGAAACGAACCTCCCAGTGGGTTTCGTTCCTTGGGAATGAAACTTCTAGGGAACGGAGAACCCGGACACATCTCCAATCATATTCTGCTTCAACATACATATAGTCAAGTATTCTTCTACCATGGGCAGAAAACTTTCTATTAACGTAGAAACTAACTTGGCGAATATAAAAGTGATTGCAAATAACAGACAAACTTTGTAAACAATACGAACTTAAGAAATATTGAATGAGTGTCCTGTGTGATGACCTATCGATTCATGCTCTTTTCATCGCGTTCTCATATTGTTTCCTAGAGTGAGTAGACTGCTTTCAAGTGATGCAATAATAAAATTGCTGAGTGCTTATAACTCCTCTTTATGGCCAAACAATACCTAGAACAATCCTAGAAGTTAAACCAGTTTATTGATAATACTTTCTCTGAAGATCCCTTGGCCTGTTTGTCTTTCTACATATATTCTTAAATTAACAGGTGAACCAGGATAAATCAGCCATCGTTACTTCCTCCATATTGTTGACGTCAAAGATGGTACACTCTAACGCTAAACGTGACTAAAATGCCCCTGCTAGTCTAATCAGCTTAAGACATCTGCTCGAATCACAAAACATGTGCAGTTCGAGTTTTGAGCAGGACCTCTTGTTCTTCATTCTGTCCATTTATATATTTCCTTACGTTGGACTCTTTTATAACTCACATACGATGTCTACACATATCTCTGTCAGTTTTTATTATGTCGAAACTTATTTTCTCCAGAAATTTTCAACATTGTATTCTCTACTAAGTCCTACAGAAATGGTCAACGCAGATATAAAAGAAAAAAGTCACCATAGTAATACTACAAAAGTCTATCAGCAATCACTTTCGAGCTGTTTTCATTGATACTAACTTGTATTTTGGGCTGATACTGAAGCAACATGTAAAAAGTTCGATGTAGAAAATTTATTTTTCAGGAAAACTAGTCATTATCTTGCATGCTTTCCCTTACTATTAACACTCAAACTATTCGAAGTAGCACCGTTTCAGAATGCGTCTAGCCTTGTATTGTAGTATTGTTTAGTGGCATTAGTACAAACCAAAAACTTGCTCCAAGTAAAAATTCTACGATAAGTTGTCCATCGTTTTCCAAAAACTGGAAAAATACGGTGGTAAAACAGGGATATTTTCGAAAACTTGTGAAAGCTAACATTTATTTTATTCTATAGGTTTTTAATGGCAGAGTTCTGATGTACACTCATAGAGTACAGCTTTCAAAGCTCCACGAAAGCATTTATGTAATTGTTCCCTACGGTTTGACACCATAAAAATCCAGAGAGATATCAAGCAAAAGGTTAGGGAGTGATTTATGCGAAGATACCATTATTTTGTAGTACTATGATTGTACTATGGAACTACAGGAAAATTGAACTGTTTTACACTTATGATTGTTCGCCATGAACGAAAAATATACAGCAAAGTTTTAGAGCTAGAGATATTTCAATGAAATCATCCTTTTTTCAAAACTGTGCGCTCATTATCTTTTCCTGAAGAATCTTTTATAATTTTTATCTTCATTATGGGGATATTGGATAACACAAACACCAAATGATTCCATTATCCCACTTCGTTGTTATGACTTGAGAATTTTCTGGATAATCTTAACCACAGAGTCATTTTAGGAGAAATACGATTTTTCTAATCTAATTAGAGCTATTCGCTCTGTTGACAACATCTTAAGCAAATTCTTCGCCAAAACTCAGTTGAAGAGAAATCCTTCTACGAAAATTTCCTGAAGCACTTTTTATCTGTACAGTATCATATCTAATTTTTAGCGAGGTCAAACCTCTTCGAATGGTAAAAGAACATAATGTTGAACTGTCTTTTTCTTACATGGAACCCCACAATGTTGATTAACACCTCCTGCTACAGACGTTTTGTGGCAAGCATGGCTTTACAGTAGTTAATATTTGCTATTCATTGCATACTGAATCTCGGAATATTTTTGCTGACAGGAAAATAATTACTATGATACGAAAAAAAAATACTATAAGCTTAGTGATACTATTTAAGAATAGAAAAATTCACTGAATACTGGTGATAAAAAACGCTCTCTGAAGAAAATGCGATTTCAAAATACATACGTTTGCTCTCTGTACTATACGAAGTCTTATGTGCTGACGAGCAGAATAACACTAATATATCGACGTTGTTCTATACTAGAGATAAAAACAAGACGTTGCTTCTATGTACATCACTAATATAAGTTTGGTTTGTATGTCTTCATTCGTGTCCTTGAAATAGCTAATTATCAAATATAATTGAGATACCTTGTTTATTTCAGACAAGTACTATCGTCTTTTTGCTTGTTCGATCATTTATGACGACATATTGATGAGATACCTGATTTTTTCCCCATAAAATATCATCGTCGTTTTGCTTGTTCTATCAGTCATTAAGGTATATTAATGAGATACCTGGTTTTTTTTCCCATGAAAATATTATTCTCATTTTGCTTGTTCTATCATTAATTAGGATATTTTAATGAGATATATGGTTTTTTACGCATAACAATATCATCGTCGTTTTACTTGTTCTATTAGTCATCGTTCGAACAGCTTGAAGGACGCAAAATAGTATGAATCGAAGGCAGAAAAATTATGCACTATAACACTACTTTGCTTGATTTTTTGCCATCGTTGCACAATATCAACAAAATATTAGCATTTCACAAGCAATACTATATCGCTCAATACCATGATCCTGGTTGAACCAAGCCTCAGATGTTCCTTCCACATATGCGAGAAGATATTAGTTTTTGGCATTACTTCTAGAAGCATTTCGTGACCATGTATATCATTAGTGACCGGATTCCATGAATTCAGAACTCTTGGGGAACTCAGGGAACTCTTGGAACCCTGGGAACTCTTGGGGAACTTCTGCAATCCTGGGAACTCTTGGAACCCTAGGAATTCTTGGAACCCTGGGAACTCTTGGGGAACTTCTGCAACCCTGGAAACTCTTGCAATCCTAGGAACTCTCGGAGCCCTTGGAATTGTTGGAACCCTAGGAACTCTTAGAACCCTAGGAACTCTTAGAACCCTAGGTACTCTTGGAACTCTGGGAACTCTTGGAACTCTAGGAACTCTAGGAACTCTTGAAACCCTGGAAACTCTTGGAACCCTGGGAACTCTTGGAACCGTAGAAACCCTAGGGTGTGGGTGTGGGTGCTCGACTGTATGCGGGTGTCGGCGTGGCTGTGGGTGTGAATCTGTGTGGGGTGCGGCTGTAGCTCTGCGTCTGTGGTTGTGTGCGTGCGTGTGGGTAGGTGGGTGTGGGTGTGGGTGGGCGTGCGGTGTGGGGGTGCTGTGGGTGTCGGTGTGGCTGTGGGTGGGGGTGTGATGTTATCTTCACCCATACCCACACTCGCATCCACACCCACGTGCACACCGACAGGGTGTGGGTGGGTGTGAGGTGAGTGTGGGGTGTGGGTGGGTGTGGGGTGAGTGTGGGGTGTGGGTGGGTGTGGGGTGAGTGTGGGGTGTGGGTGGGTGTGGGGTGAGTGTGGGGTGTGGGTGGGTGTGGGGTGAGTGTGGGGTGTGGGTGGGTGTGGGGTGAGTGTGGGGTGTGGGTGGGTGTGGGGTGAGTGTGGGGTGTGGG